CCCCCACAAAATATGCAGTCACTACACTTCACAGTATATCCTGTGAAGCGCTTTGAGACGTCTCAGAGACCTCATCAGGCGCTGTAACAATTGCAACGATTATTATTATTATCAGGGAGGAGTTGCAGGGACTCTGGGACAAATCTGTCGCTGAATATTTCGGAGGTGCCCTGGGACTGGAGAAAGACAGATGTCACTCCTATTTTTAAAAAGGTAGCAAAAGTGAGCCAAGAAAACCAGAGAGTTGTTATAGTCTGGGACGCACAGATTCGATAGCAGCTTTCAAAAGGGAATCGGATAGTTCCTTGAAAAGAAAAAATCTGTAAGGCAATAAATAGGGTGAGAGCGGGGGAGTGGGACTAGTTGGGAGCTCTTTCAAAGCGTCGGCACAGCTACGATGGGCCGAATGGCCTCCTTCTGTGCCGCCGGGCAAAGCACTAACGGGTAGGTCTTGCTAGTTGGGCAAGCGGTGCTCTCAATGGCAAGCGATGTGATTTTAGCTGGTTTTCCCAATGCACCCCCCCCCCCCCAAGCCTTGGCTCTCGCCAACCTGTGCATAATACGCTCCGGAATTACGTAAGCAGGATGTGTCCCTCCCGGGAGAGAGAGAGAGAGAGAGAGAGCGTGAGAGAGAGCGCGGGTTCCATTCCAACAATCTATCTCTGGGTTTTCCATGTGTTCCGGTTCGTGGAGTCCTGTAGCTCAGTGGTTAGAGCACTCGCTTTGCGAGCGAGAGACCTGAGTTCAATTCCAGGCAGAGGGCGAAACCTCGGGCAAGTTTCCTTACTCCACACAGAGCCTAATAATAATCCCTTAAAAAACCCAAAACAATAATAAATTGGTCATTTTCAATCCACGACTGTTTGTGGGACATCGCTGTGCGCCATTGGCCGCCGCGTTCGCCCACAAATATACAGTCGATTCACTTTACAGTGTGTTCTGTGAAGCGCTTTGGGATGTCCTCCCGACGTGAAAAGCGCTATATCAAATGCAAGGATTATTATTATTATGTAGGTGGGATGCGTGGAATTCTCAGTTTGGTTTGGAGACTCTTAAGCAACGGTGATGGGTTTCCGTGTGTGTCAGACACCTCCTATAGCTTTATGGGAGATCCCTTAACATCCACATGAACAGACGCAGACGGAAACTCAGCTTAAGGTCTCGTCTGAAGGACGGCGTCTCCGCAGCACTACAGTGTCAGCGTAGACTGTGAGCTCGAAGTCCCCGACGTGGGGCTTAAACCCTCAACTTTCTGACTCAGAGGAGAGAGGGCGACCGAAGTTTACATAGAAGAAAGGCTGTAGATAAATGACATATGTGTTGCATTAACTGTGAGCTCTCAAACCATGACCAACCAACCAGGGCAGGAGGCAGGTTGAGGCTGTGGGAGGGACTGATAAGTCGGCTACATGTACTTGGATTGAAGAGAGAGGAAGAGGGACGGAGAGAGAGAGAGAGAGAGACAGCGAGCGAGTGACCGACTGACCAAGCGACCACCGACCCAGTGAGAGAGTGAGTGAGAAAGACAGAGTGTGAGAGAGACGGAAGGTAAGACTTGTCACCTTAGGAGAGAAGAGTGAGAGTATTACGTTTTAACTGAGACACAGGTGACACTGACTGAGATTGGGGGTAACTGCTGTGTCTCTTGTTTATCTGTCTGTCTGTGCTCCGTCAATTCACTGTACAGTGTGTTCCGTGAAGCGCTTTGGGACGTCCGAAAAAAAACCTCCTAATTTCATTCCTAAATGGCCGAGCTCTAAATTTAAGATGATGCCCCTCTGTCCTGGATTCCACCCCCCACCACCAGAGGAAATAGTTCCTCTGAAGCTACCGTATCGCATCCCTTTATCATTTTAACCACTTCAATCAGATCACCCGCTCAACCTTCTAAACTCAAGGGAATACAGACCAAGGTAATGCAATTTTAATAATAATAATCCTTGCATTTGACATAGCGCTTTTCACGCCGGGAGGACGTCCCAAAGCGCTTCGCAGAACACACTGTAAAGTGGATTGACTGTATATTTGTGGGCGAACGCGGCGGCCAATTGCGCACAGCGATGTCCCACAAACAGTCGTGGATTGAAAATGACCAATTTATTATTGTTTTTGGTTTTTTAAGGGATTATTATTAGGCTCTGTGTGGAGTAAGGAAACTTGCCCGAGGTTTCGCCCTCTGCCTGGAATTGAACTGAGGTCTCTCGCTCGCAAAGCGAGTGCTCTAACCACTGAGCTACAGGACTCCATTTTGTTGTTGTCTCTGTGTGTGTCTCTCTCCATCTGACTGTGTGCTTTTCTGCGTGTGAGTGTGTGTATATCTCTCTCGGTTCGTCAGGTCCGTGTGATGCACACGCAAGTAGAGGAAACAACTGTAAGAGAGGCCAAGACATCTCCAGAAGTCTCCTATCTTCCCTCGGATCAAATTTATTCTTTGACAAACAGCCATGAACATCAAGGTCCTGGGATTTCTAGCGGCCATATTATCTGTTGGGAGACAATCATCCTGTGATTGTCCAATTAATCATCCACAGACCTCCATCTGTGTATCTCAAGTGGGTGAGTGGCCATTTCGCTCCGGATACAGTGAGAGTGTGGACATTGGGAGAGAATAAGAATAATAATAATAATCCTTGCATTTGATATGGCACCTTATCACGTCTTCGAGACGTCTCAAAGCGCTTCACAGAACAACAACAAATGACATTTGCGCAGCACCTTTCAAGTTGGGAGGTGCCCCAAGGTACCGGATTATCGGTGTTTCGGACCCGAGCTGAGGGGTCGGAATCGGGGAGGGTGGAGGGCAGAGGCGGAAGGAAGATGACGAAGGCGCAGTCGAAGAGGAGGAGGGTCTTGAGATGAGTCTTCAAGGGAGGGGACAAAACGAGGGATTGCGGGATGGAGTTCCAGAGGGTGGGGACAGAGTGGCAGAAGGCCCACCTGCCAATGGTGGGGTTGGCGAGGTGGGGAACATGAAGGAGGCCAGACCCCACTCAGCGGAGGGAGCAGGCAGGTTGGTAGGGGGTTTAGGAGGTCACAGAGGTAGGGAGAAGCAAGGCCATGCAGGGCTTTGAAAGTGAGGATCAGGATGTGCGATGGGAAACGAGTGGAGTCGGGCGAGGATGGGGGGTGATAGGGTCACGGAGCCTGATACGGGAGAGGACACGGGCCGCAGAGTTCTGGGTGGTCTGCAGCCTATGGAGGGAGGAGTTGGGGAGGCCAACGCGCAGGGAGTTTGCATAGTCAAGTCCGGATGTCATGAATGCGTGCACAAGGGTCTCGCTGGTGTGAGACAGTGACGGCTTAGTAAGGTGCAGCGGGTGCACCTTGGATGGTGATGCTGTCAAGAGTCTGAGCTTTGGAGGCGCTGACGGGAGCGAATCAGGAGGGTCTCGGTCTTGTTGACGTTTAACGTCAGCTCTCTATCAGGACAGCTGTGGTCCTGGAGTTGAGGGTGGAGGCAGAGAGATAGAGTTTGGTGTCTATTGGGGGAAATTGACCCCATGTCTGCGGATGATCTCACCAAGAGGGAGCATAGAGATGTTGAACAGGATGGGACCAAAGACAGAGCCCTGAGGAACGCCACGCGAGATGGTGCGGGGGTGAGAGGAGAAGCCGTTCGTGGAGATGAAGTGGAGAGGGGTAGGATCAGGACCACGAAGGTTGAGGTGAGAGGAGAAGCAGCGGAGGATAGAGCGCTCGAAGGCAGCTGAGAGGTCGAGGTGGACGAGGAGGCAGAGGGAGCCCTGGTCACAGATGGACAAAGTGTCATTTGTGCTGCGGGCGGCCGGGAAACCTGACTGAAGGGGTTCATGAAGGGAGTGGCGGGAGAGGAACCAGTGAAGCAACGACTCTTTCCAGGACCCTGCAAAGGAAAGGCAGGTTGGGGATGCGGCGATAGCTTGAGATCAGGGATGGGTCCAGGGAGGGTTTTTTTTTTAAGGGTAGGAGTGATGACGGACGTTTTTAGAGGGGTGGGAACGGTGCAGTGGACAGGGAGAGGTTTATTATATTTACGTCTCAAAGACGTGAAAAGCGCTCTATCAAATACAAGGATTATCTATGTTATTATGATGTCTGTGAGTAGGGGGCAAAGGAGGCGGTGGCTGGGAGTTAAGGAGCGGGTTAGGGATGTACTTACTGCTGGTAGACAGAGGAGTATGTGTGGAGTAAGGAAACTTGCCTGAGGTTTTGTCCCGACCTGTCCCGCCTGGGAATTAAACCGGGGTCCTCTCGCTTGTGAGGCGAGCGCGCAAACCACTGAGCTACAGGACCACACGTACGGGAAGGGCTTTGAAGCAATGGGAGTGTGGAAAATGGGAGCAACGTATTCAACATTAAATCAATGCCTTTTCTCTCAACCTTTTTTTCAGCCATAAGATGCATAATAACAAGTCCGAAGTTGACTTCACCAGAAAGAGACCTTTGGGGCAATTTGGTTTATTTCAAAGTCAGGCAACTAGTGGTATGTTACTTACACTGTGGCACAGCCAGGCTCGGCCGCTCTTTCACATGGGTTACCTGTTCTAACCCTCCGTGCGCAGGGCCCAGCCCAGACTGGCTTATTGGCAGGAGCTGGAAGGGCAAACCGGGGGGGGGGGGGGGGGGGGGGAGAGAGAGAGAACCCGATCCCGTTCCAAGAGTTTATCTCGGGAATTTCCATGTGTAGGTGGAATGCACGGAATTCTCCGTTTTAATAATAATAATAATAATAATGGCATTTGATATAGCGCTTTTCACGTCGGGAGGACGTCCCAAAGCGCTTCACGGAACACACTGTAAAGTGAATCGACTGTATATTTGTGGGCGAACGCGGCGGCCGATTGCGCACAGCAGTGTCCCACAAACAGTCGTAGATTGAAAATGAGCGATTTATTATTGTTTTTGGAGGGATTATTATCATGTTTTATCATGTTCAGATTGAACAGAAGCATATTATTCATTGTTACATCTATTCTCTGGGTAGATCATCAAAGGAGTCAATCTCATCCAAGAAGTTCAAGAAGTTTACACTGGGAGTAGACTTTCCTGTGGCTATAACCCTGGAGACTATTTTCAAAATAGAGAATTTTTGCTGTTTGGTAAGTGTACTTTAATCTCCTCGGATCCACTATCAAACAAATCCAAAACTTTGCAGCCTGAACACTACACTCCGTTTGCACCATCGGTGGCCGCATTTCCAGCCACTATGCCCCGAAGCTCCGAAACTCTCACCCTCGACTCCTCCGTCTATCCCCCACATTGTGCATCTTCAGGTTATGTCTGAAGACCTTCCTCTTCGATTGTGCCTACGGTCACCCCCCACCTCTCCCCCGGCATCGGCATCGTGCTCCACCACTGCCAAGCGCTCTGGGACGCTGCCCTACGTGTGAATGTAAATGCAATGTTGAGGGGAAAGAGTCACCTTTTGAGAAGCGTCTTGCAAGAAGGGAGGAATGGAGTAACAGAGAGCAGAGGGCAGAACAGCCAAGATCCAAACGATGGTGGGGTGGAGCGAAATGGGGCCGAGGGCAAATAAAAATAATATTTGCATTGATGCAGCATCTTAACACGTCTCAAAGCACTTCACAGAATACACTGTAAAGTGTGGTGACTGCAGATTTTGTGAGCGATACGTGGCAACCAATTGCACACAGTAGTGTCGCACAAACAGTTGGGGTTTGAGTGACCAAATTATTATAATGTTATAATGTATTATTATTATATGACTCTCAGTGACTGATTGCATTTCTGTTCCTTCCTTCCGATTTCCCTTCAACCCACAGGAAAGGTGCACAACAAAAACAGCATCTTTCTCTATCGATGTTCCTTCCTGAAGCTCTGGAAAGAGTTGACTTGGTTCCAGCAAACTTCAATAATGGGCAACTACCAGTCAGGCTGTAACTGTGAGGTACAGACGGGCAAGGAATATAGACCCGAGTAGAAGTGTCCTGGAATAGAACAGGAAGTGCCTGTCAAATACACAGGCACTTCCAGGGAAGTGCACGAACGTAATGGAGTCCTGCGGCACACTTGCTGGAGCACTCGCCTCGCAAATGAGCGGACCTGGGATCGATTCCCGGGCGGGACAGGGCAAAACCTTAGGCCCGTTCCTTACTCCAACACACACACACACACACACACACGCACACACACGCGCCTCTGGTACCCGGGGTAATAAACCCGGAAAAAAATTAGTCCAATCCACAACTGATTGTGGGACACAGTTATGCGCAATTGGCTGCCATATTCCGCCCATAAAATGTACAGTCACTGCATATATACACACATATATTCTGTGAAGCGCTTTGGAGGCGCGATTAAGGCGCTTTATCAAATGCAAGGATTCGTATTATTTTTTTTATTGTTCAGAGAACACGAAGTATTCAGGGATTAGAACAGGGAGTGTCCAGGAGAACAGATCGGAACAGGGGAACTATCTTGAATGCAACAGGAAATGGATTCTTCTCCTTCACATATTCTTCTCCCACAGATTTCTCTGTGCATGAAAGGGATGTGCTTTAACAGAACGGTCCCCCACGAGTGTCAGTTCACAGACGACGTCGTCCCTTGGACAGGACCAGGAAAGGATCCCTATTTCAGGCCACAATATGAAGGCATGGTCTGCCGGAGGCAGTCCAATGGCAGTTGCGGATGGGACAGCAGGATAACGCCGGTCCGGTCTTTTGAATGGCGATGAATGAACAACAACAAATGACATTTACACAGCGCCTTTCACGTCGGGAGGACGTCCCAAGGTGCTGGATCAGGCATTTGGACCCGAGCTGATGGTGAGTGGACGCCAGGGAGGATGAGAGCGTGACCGAAGGTGCAGTCGAAGGGGGTCTCGAGACAGGTCTTGAAGAAGGCGAGTGAGACAAGGGGACTGCCCCCCCGGTTACCTCCCCTCTCTCCCTATCTCAGCGTCATGTTTCAACCACTGTCAAGTGCTCTGGGACGCTACCTTGCGTGAGGGGAGCTGTATAAATGCAAGTTGTTGTTGTTATTGTATTGCAGTTTTATTGAACATGTTCGCTTTCACACAGTAATACACAACCTGTGCTTCTCTGCTGTTCTGTTTCTCTCTATATATGAAATAAGTAAACCTTTCTGTCTCCACGTCGCATAATAAATTATTTCTGCTGGGACACGTTTCTGTCTGTTATCGTCATGTGTCTCAAAACTGGTTGTGGTTCTGTTGTGGATGACTGCTCACACAAACAGTGCTGATTTGTCAGTTCAAGTGCTGTTCCCCGACGTGGGGCTTGAACCCACAAACTTCTGACTCGGAGGAGAGAGTACAGCCGAACTTTACATAGGGAAGGTGCTATACAGGGTGGATTCATGTCGCTCATTGGTTAGAGCACTTGCCTCGCAAGCAAGAGGACCAGCAGGGCGAAACATTGGGCAAACTTCTTTACTCCACCCGCCCTCTGCTTACCTATCAGTAAGTAGGAACCTTCAGTCCACAACTGCTCGCGGGACACTGCTCTGCACGATTGGCTCCGTGTTTCACCTCCAAAATCTAATAATAATAATCCTCGCATTTGATATAGCGCTTTTCACGTCTTCTGGACGTCCCAAAGCGCTTCACAGAATATGCGGTAAAGTGAATGGACCGTATATGTATTATTATACGACTCGGTGGCTAATTGCATTTCTGTTCCTTCCTTACTCACTGGTTGCGGTTGTATTGTGGATCACTGCCCACACAAACAAAAGTGGATTTGTGGGTTCGAACTCTATTCCCGACCTGGGGCTTGAACCCCCACAGGGAATAATCCCTCCAAAGACAAAACAATAAGAAATTGGTCGTTTTCAATCCACGACTGTTTGTGGGACACTGCTGCGCGCAATCATCTGCCGCGTTTCGCCCACAAATATACAATTTATTCACTAAACAGCATATTCGGTGAAGCGCTTTGAGACGTCTAGAAGACGTGAAAAGCACTGTAATCCCTTAAAAAAATTAGCTGCTGCATTTCGCCTACAAAATATACAGTCACTACACTTTACAGTATATTCTGTGAAGTGCTTTGAGGCGAAGTGATATCAAATGCAAGGATTAGTATTATTTTTACTGTTCAGAGAACAAGAAGTATTGAGGGATTACAATAGGAAGTGTCCAAAATAGATTGGAACAGGGAAAAGAAGAGGCAGTATCGTGAATACAAAAGGAAATGGGTTCCTCTCTTTCACATATCCTTCCCCAACAGCTTAAACTGTGCACAGAGCGCACCTGCAGTTACAGAATAAATCACCAATGTCTGTTTTCACGTCAGGAGGATGTCCCGAGGCGCTGCACAGACAGGGATTCGGACCTGAGTTCAAAGTTGGGATTAAGACGGGTTGTGCTCCACCACTGTCAAGCGCTCTGGGATCGCGACTTTGCCTGAGGAGCACTAAATAAATCAAAGCTGTTATTATTATATTGCAAAGTCCTGACGAGGAAAGCTTACCTGAGCCGCACATTAAGATTGAACATGTTCTCTTTAAAACATACAACCAGTGCTTCCCTGTTGCTCTATCTCTCTACGTCTACACGAAATAAGTAAACCTTTCTGTCTCCACATCGTATAATAAATTATTTCTGCTGCGACACCTGTCTGTCTGTTACCGTCATGTGTCTCGTAACTGGTTGTGGTTCTGTTGTGAATCATTGCTCACACAAACAAAGTGGATTTGTGGGTTCAAACTCTATTCCCGACGTGGGGTTTGAACCCGCAAACTTCTGACTCAATGGGGAAAGAGCGTGACCGAACTTTACACAGGCGCTACGCATGGTGTAGCCCCATAGCTCAGCGGTTATAGCACTTGCCTCGCAAACGAGAAGACCCGGTTGGATTCCTGGCAGCGAGAAACGTTGGGCAAGTTTCCTTACTCCACACGTCTGGTTATTTTGCGAAGTATATTCTGCAAAGCGCTTTGAGATGTTTTGAAGACGTGACAAGCCACGACGCCAAATGCAAGGTTTATTATTATTAACTGCGAGCTCTCAAACCCTGACCAACCCACGAGGGCGGGAGACAGGTTGAGGTTGTGGGAGGGACTGATAAACTCGGGCTACATATAGGTGGAGGAAGACAGACAGCAGAAGAGAGAGAGAGAGAGAGAGAGAGTGTGCGTACAACCAACTGACCACCCAACCAAGTAACCAACCAACCCATTGAGAGTGAGTGAGAAAGACAGTGTGAGAGTGCACGTGAGGAGAGGGTGTTATTGAGAAGGTAAGACTTCTCTCCTCAGGAAACAGAGGTTGAGACTATTTTGTTTGAACTGAGACACAGTCACTGACTGAGACATAAACCCACTGTGTCTATGGAGAAACTGGACTATGAGGAGCGATTAGATTTATTATTATTATTAGATAAACTGGACATGTTCAGACTGGAGAAGAGAAGGTTCAGGGGTGATATGATTATGTTCTTTTGGATTCTAAAGGGAATATGGAGCTGTTTGATGAGCTGTTTTATCTTGTACTGAAAAGTAGAACTACAGGATTGAAATTCAGAACAAATCTGCGGAAATACTACTTCAGTGAGTGAGAAATAAACGTATGGAACCGGCTCCCAGGCAGACAGACGGCAAGCAAAGGAGTGTTGATTCTTCCAAGAATAATTGTGATCAATTTCTGTTAGAAAATAATATCTGGGGATACAGTTTATAGTTTGGGACACAATATGCCAAGCAACTGCCAGGACCATCGACGTGTTCCCGTCATTAATAATAATAATCCTTGCATTTGATGTAGTGCCTTATCACGTGTTTGAGACGTCTCAAGGGCTTCACTTTAAATACTGCGTGAACTGACTGTGTATTTTGTGGGCGAAACGTGGCAGCCAATGGCACACAGCAGTGTCCCACAAACTGCCGTGGATTGAGTGATAACGTTCTTTTAAGGGATTATTACCCCCAGAAAGCGATCCAACAATCGACTAACAACCGGGTTCCTACTTACTGCGAGGCAAACAGATGCACGTGGAGGAAGGAAACTTGCCTAAGGTTTCGCCCTGTCCTGCCCAGGAATCAAATCCAGGTCCTTCCTGGTGGTTGTCCACAATACAGCTATGGTGGAGCGGCTTATGTTTCTGCTACTTTGGTCAAGAGAGTCAGTGATGTATTATTAGCATTTGTAAAGTGCCTTTCAGGTCGGGAGCACTTCATAAGCACTGGATAGTCAGGGGTTTGGATGAGCTGAGGTAAAGGATCAGGGGTGGTGTAGGACAGGGAGGGTAGGAATAGGAGGGTGACCGAACGCGTGGTTGAACAGGAGGATCTTGAGACGGGTCTCGAAGGAGGTGAGAGAGGGAGCAAAATAAGAGGACCAGGGGATGGAGTGCCAAAGGGTGGGAGCAAAGCAACGGAAGGCTTTCAAAGGGAAAGAGTACTTTCTAACCATTGTAATGTTTGTCCTCTACATTTTCAGAAGTCTTCGGATCTTTCCTCAGTCAGATCAAATTTATTTGCTCTTCAACGAACAGCCATGACCGTCAAGCTGCTTGGCGTTCTAGTTGTCCTGCTGTCTGTTGGGAGACTCTCTCAAGCCTGCACTTGTACAGCACTCCATCTCCAGAGCGCCTTCTGTAGCACTGACGTGGGTGAGGAAGGATATATATTGGCTCTAAAGGGGGTGCAGCGCTGATTCACCAGAATACTTAAAGGTTTAAATTACGAGGATGAATTCACTTGCCTCTCTTACAAGCAATTCCCCTCTTGCCTATGAATCACAAACTAGACCGACAGAGAGATACGCGCACAACGAAAAGCGCAGACAAGACACGTATGCGCACACACACACACACACACACACACACGGACAGAGAGACGACAACAACAACAAACTGCATAACCTTGGTATGTATTCCCTTTAGTATAGAAAGTTGAGGGATGATCTAATGGAGGTTTTTAAATAATAACAGGGTTCGATAAACATAAACAGAAGCTATTGCCTCTCGTGGGGGAATCCAGAACAATAATAAGCCTTGAATTTGATTTACCGCCTTATCACGTCTTCGAGTCGTCTCAGAGCAGTTCATTGAACAAACCGTAAAGTGAACTGACCTTTGCTTTGTGGGCGAAACATTTTGTGTTTTAAAATTAGAGATAAGCCGCTTAGCAGTGAAATGATACAAAAGGGAGTAGAAATCTGGAACTCTCTCCCACAAAAGGCTGTGGATGCGGGAACCATTCGAATTTTTACGACCACTGCCTTTTCTCTTAATGTTTTTCAGTTGTAAGGGTCAGAATAACAAGCGATAGAGCGTCTTCACCCTCTATGACTCGATACCTTGTCAGACAAATTACGGTATGTGACATACAAACAAAAATATACAGTAAAGTCACTTTACAGTATATTGTGTGAAGCACTTTGGGACGTCTCAAAGACGTGATGAGGTGCTATATTAAATGCAGGGATTATTAATATTACACTGTGTTCCAGCCAGGACTGGCGATTCATTCATAACAGGAAAGCGTCCCAAGGCACTGGACAGTAAAGGCCCTCTCCACCATCGTCGGGTCTTAGCCTCTCTCCCCCCCACCCTGTGGAAGTCCATCTCGCTCTGCCTTGCTCCCTCCCTGGCCTCGCTCCCTCAAGAACCCCCCTCTTCGACCGGGTCTTCGGTCATCTTTCTACCCCCCACCCTCCGCCCCTCTTGGTCCCAATCCACAGCTCGAGAAGCTATTGCCTCCAGTGGGTGCGGGAATCCAGATCAAGGGGTATCACCTTAAAATTAGAGCGAGACCATTCAGCAGTGAAATTAAGACAGTTTTTCACCCAAAGGGGAGTGCAAATTTGGAACTCTCTCCATCAATAGGCTGTGGATTGTGGATCTATTCACATTTTTAAGATGGGAGTTCGATAAGATATTTGTTAGGTCAGGGCATTAAGGGATACGGGGCGAGGGCGGGGAATTGGGAATGGAGGTACTGATCAGCCATGATCTTATAAATGGCGGAACAGGCTGGAGGGGCTGAATAGCCTACTCCTGTTTCTATGAATCCGAATGCAAACCCGTTTTATTTTGTGCAATAGGGAGCCAGTGGAGCCCAGTGAGGACTCGGGTGATACTCCGGAACGGAGGTCAGTATGGGTGAGTATGCGAGTGGCGCATATGTCGCTTTTGTAATTATCATGTCTATTTTCTGAGCAGATGTTCAAGGGATCCGAAATGATGAAGAGAGTTGAACACTTCTACACAAGGAATAGCGGCCGTCTCTGTGGCTATACACCTAAGGACAATTACCGAAATGAAGACTATCTGCTATCGGGTGAGTGTTGTGCCTTATCATTCACATGTGGAGTCCTGTAGCGTAGGGGTTAGTGCGCTCGCCTCGCAAGCAGGAGGAATTGAGTTTGATTCCTGGGCAGGAAGAAACCTTGGCAAGTTTCTTTACTGCACACACAAAATCAGAGGTAGACCATTTAGAAATGAAATTAAGAAGCAGTTTTTTCCCCCCAAAGGGCAGTGGATATCTGAAACTCTCTCCCCCAAAAGGCTGCGGAAGCTGGATCTACTCATTTTCAAGGTGGAGGTAGAGAGATATTTGTTAGGTCAAGGGATGGAGCGAGGGCGGGGAATTGGGAATACAGGTACAGATCAGCCATGACCTTATAAATGGCAGAACAGGTTGGAGGGGCCTCTGTTTATCTCGCGATAAATTGGAACATGTTTGTTAGTCGATTAGTCGGTGGCTTTTCCGGGTAATAATTCTTCCAAAATTTGTTTTAAAAACTTACGTACTCAATCCACGACTGTTTGTAATACTAATCCTTGCATTTGATATAGAGCGTTATCACATTGTTGAGACATCTCAAAGCACTTCACAGAATATACTGTAGTTAATGACTGTAAATTGTGACCGAAATCGACAGCCAATTGTGCACAGCATTATCCCACAAACAGTCATGGGTTGAGCAATCACTTTGTTTTAAGTTATTTTATTTTGAAGGGATTATTACCCCCCGGAAAAGCAAGACGTCGCGAAGATGTGATCAGGCACTGTATCAAATGCGAGGAGTATTATTATTTAAAATGAATCCTGTGCAGTACTTTGAGGCATGAGAGTCCGGACGTGAAAGCATTATAAAAAATCCAAAGATAAATATTACTATCATTACTACGGTGTCTCTCACTTGTTTTCTTCCAACTCCCCAGGTATGAGAGAAACCTCGATCAGCATCAGGGTGACTTCGTGTGACTTTGTCATGCCCTGGAAAGAGCTGACAGAATACCAGCGGAATTCAATGCAACAGAAGTACTCGGATGGTTGCGAATGCGAGGTATTGAGATCTTTTTTGGTCAGCCGGGAGTCTGACACATGCGGAAATCCATCACCGTCCTTAAGAGTCTCCAAACCCAACTGAGAATCTCATGGATCCCACCTACACGTGGAAATCCCAAAGAAAAGATTGTTGGAATGCTCTGCGCGATCTCTCTCTCTCTCTCCCTGGAGGCACACATCCTACTTACCTAATTCCAGAGAGTATTAGGAGCAGATTGACAAGAGCCAAGGCTTGGGAGGAGCCCAGGGTCGGCATTGGGTTAACTGCTTGAGTCGAACCTGCTAAAATCACATAGCTTGGGAATTGATATCCAATGCAATGAGGATCACTTTCTGGGGGTACACTAATGGTCCTGCACACTACTGGGTGCAATTGGCTGCGCGTTTCACCCACAAAATATACAGTCACTGCACTTTACAGTATATTCTGTGAAGTAGTTTGAGAAGTCTCGAATACATGATCAGGCGCTATATCAAATGCAAGGATTATTATTATTAAGAACATCAGAATTTTCTAGGCAACAGAAGACCAAAGTGGAGTCCTGTAGCTCAGTGGTTAGAGCACTCGCTTTGCAAGAGAGAGACCTGAGTTCAATTCCAGGCAGAGGGCGAAACCTCGGGCAAGTTTCCTTACTCCACACAGAGCCTAATAATAATCCCTCCAAAACCAAAACAATAATAAATTGGTCATTTTCAATCTACGACTGTTTGTGGGACATCGCTGTGCGCAATTGGCTGCCGCGTTCGCCCACAAATGTACAGTCAATTCACTTTACAGTGTGTTCTGTGAAGCGCTTTGGGATGTCCTCCCGACGTGAAAAGCGCTATATCAAATGCGAGGATTATTATTATTATTATTATTAAAGTCCATCTTGTTTGCCTCCACCGTGTTGGCAGTCGCTTGACATGTCGTGCCCCAAACTATATACTGCGTCCCCAGATTTTTTTTATAGCAGAAATCAATCTAATTTGTCCTTGAAGCAAATGACGTTTTCTGCTTCCGCCGTCTCTCTCGGGAGTGAGCCTGTTCTATAAGTTTACCACTCACGCCACTGAAGCAGTTTCTGCCGATGTCCTCTGAATTTACCCCCTTCAATCGCAGACTGTTAATAAACAATTAAGAATATTATTATTAATCATAAGAAGTCTCTTGAATAGAACTCTAAGTGTCTGTGGGAAGGGAGCAGGAAGTGTTGCGGAATAGAACAGGGGGTCTCCTGAGTCAGGAAGTGTGGGGTCAATGCTGAGCCTAATAGTTCTGATGTTTCTCACTCACATATTCTTCCACAGATTATCCCGTGCTACTTTTATTATCATTAGGATCAGCCCGGCTCAGGCGCTGTGTGTCAGCCCGGCTCAGTCGCTGTGTGTCAGCCCGGCTCAGTCGCTGTGTATCAGTCTGGCTCAGCCGCTGTGTGTCAGTCTGGCTCAGTCGCTGTGTGTCAGCCTGGCTCAGTCGCTATGTGTGTGTGTCAGTCTGGCTCAGTCGCTGTGTGTCAGTCTGGCTCAGTCGCTGTGTGTCAGTCTGGCTCAGTCGCTGTGTATCAGTCTGGCTCAGCCGCTGTGTGTCAGTCTGGCTCAGTCTGTGTGTGTCAGCCTGGCTCAGTCTGTGTGTGTGTGTCAGTCTGGCTCAGTCTGTGTGTGTCAGCCTGGCTCAGTCTGTGTGTGTGTGTCAGTCTGGCTCAGTCGCTGTGTGTGTGTCAGCCTGGCTCAGTCGCTGTGTGTCAGCCTGGCTCAGTCGGTGTGTGTCAGCCTGGTTCAGTCGCTGTGTGTGTGTCAGCCCGGCTCAGTCGCTGTGTATCAGTCTGGCTCAGTCGCTGTGTGTGTCAGCCTGGCTCAGTCGCTGTGTATCAGTCTGGCTCAGTCGCTATGTGTGTGTCAGCCCGGCTCAGTCGCTGTGTATCAGTCTGGCTCAGTCGCTGTGTGTCAGCCCGGCTCAGTCGCTGTGTATCAGTCTGGCTCAGTCGCTGTGTGTGTGTCAGCCCGGCTCAGTCGCTGTGTATCAGTCTGGCTCAGTCGCTATGTGTGTGTGTCAGCCTGGCTCAGTCGCTGTGTGTCAGTCTGGCTCAGTCGCTGTGTGTCAGCCCGGCTCAGTCACTGTGTGTCAGCCTGGCTCAGTCGCTGTGTGTGTGTCAGCCCGGCTCAGTCTGTGTGTGTGTGTCAGCCCCGGCTCAGTCGCTGTGTGTCAGACTTGCTCTCGAGTTGAAAGGTGTTGTATCAGATGTGAGGATTATAATTTTTAGTTGTTATTTTATTAGTAATAATTTCAACCATTCGATCAATTTCTTTCAGGTGACAACCCCCAAATTCCCCGTTGTTGTCAAAATGGGGCACGCTTACTCTGGAATGGGGAAGGTAAGAGCGCTCTCTTTCTCTCTCTCACACACACACACTCTCACACACTCTCACACACTCCCTCCCACTTCCACTCACTGTCACACTCTCACACACACACTCTCACACACTCACACACATTCCCTCCCACTTCCACTCACTGTCACACTCTCACACACTCACACACTCTCACACACACTCACACACATTCCCTCCCACTTCCACTCACTGTCACACTCTCACACACACACACTCTCACACACTCACACACATTCCCTCCCACTTCCACTCACTGTCACACTCTCACTCACACACACTCTCACACACACTCACACATTCTTACAGACTCACACATTCTCACACACACTCACACTCTCTCACCTCCGGACCGGCGCGACTTATCACCTTCAGCCCAGTCAACCTTTTCAGGACTTCCTCTCTGTTTATACTTATCCTATCCATTTCCTCTGCCCTCTCCTCCGAACTGCGGCATTTGTGCATCCACTTCTTTTGTAAGACAGATGACAAAGTACTCATTCAGCACATCAGCCATTGCCTCCACAATAAGATTTCCGCCTTCTACCTTTGACTAATCCTTTTTTCTTGTATGTTTGTGAAATATTTTAGAATTCCCTTTAGTGTTACCCGCTAACCTTTCTTCGTATAACCTTTTTGCCCCTCTTACTTCCTTCATCAGTTCTCTTCTGTACTTCCTATATTCGATTTGGTTGTCTTCCGTATCTCGGGTTTGACAGTTGTCACACTTCTCCTTTTTCTGCTTCATTCTCAATACAATTACCTTCGTCATCCAGGGAGGTTTGGAAGCCCTACTTTTCCCTTTTGTGGGAATGTATTTGTTCTGTCCCCGAGCTTCTCATCCTTGAAGACCTCCCACTGCTCTTTAGTTGTGTTACCTGCCAATCTTTCTTTCCAATCTTTCCTGGCTCGGTCCCTTTTTAACTCACTGAAATTTGCCCTCTTCCAGTTGAGTACCTTCAGCTTAGATGGTTCCTTGTCCCTTTCCATATGTCCTCTGAATCTAATGATGTTGTGATCACTGTTGCCCAGACGCTCTCCCACTGAAACCTGCTCCACTTGCCCTACTTCATTCCCCAGAACTAGATCCAGCACTGCTTCCTTCCCCGTTGGGTTGGAAACGTACTGATCAAAAAAGTTGTCCTGTATGCATTTTAGGAATCTTTCTCCCTCCTTGGCCTTCGAGCTGTTGTTTTGCCATTCCGTGTTGGGATGATTAAAGTCCCCCATTATCGCGACTGGCATCTGTCTGAGATCTGTTTGCAGATCTGCTCATCTATTTCCTTCCCACTATTTGGTGGTCTATAGTACAACAACAACAACAAGAAGATTACATTTATAAAGCGCCTTTCACGTCAGGAGGACGTCCCTAAATATACTATAAAATAGTATATCCCTACCAGATTGTGACAGTGAGTCAGTGTGAGAGTG